CCCTCCCCCCCCCCCCCCCCCCTTTGCTCGGAACTTGATGTAGTAACTAGTAATTACTTGTTTTGCACAGACAATGATGCTCTTTGTAGTACACCTCAAACCCCCCCTGCCTACGAGTACACCTTTACAACCATTCAACCGCCAAACTCCAGATCTAAAAATCCCATGCCTCTAATCTACTGCGCCATCCCCGCACGTCCGACTTGGTAAATTTCACCCGTCAACGCCTCATCCCCCCTGAGGACCGGCCACGACGCCCCATCTGCCTTGACGAGCGTCACCTCCAGCTTCGTCCCCAAGATCTTATACGACGACTTGGTCGTATCAATCAGTCCATAGAGGGGCACGTCGGCAGAATATCGCTTTGGCGGGGAATCGCTCGTCACCAAGTCGAGAGCAAGTTGCCTGTCCTGAAACCGAACCTTTGCGCTTTCCTTGTTGATTTTCTTGAGGAAAAATGCGGCGATGACGGTTGTTGCAGTTTGGTAAAAGTCGTGCCTTTGATTCAGGCGTGTCAGCACATACGTTAGCAAACAGGCAGAGGACGCATGGCTGACATACCTAACTGTGCTCAAGACCTCCTCCCCAGCTGAGCCCGTCTTCTCGTCCTCCTTCTTGCCACTGCCAATGAATAGGTGTCTATCCTTGGTCTTGCACCCTTCAATCTTCATGAACTGGTCAAACTCCAAGACTCGTCTCTTGCAGCACGAGTACCCCTTGCTGCCCTCGTGGAAGATGGGCACACCGGGGTGGTAGACGCATGCCTCGCCCTCTCGTGAACTGCCCTTCTTGTATCTCTGCCCGCAAGTTCGTCGGCGGCACGTGCTTCCATCGGGGATCTCCAGGCTCGCATCGTCATCATCCGTTTCTGGGGCAGGCGGAGGAGGCGTGGGTATCGATTGGGCCGGCTGGATTGGCAACCGCGGCGGCGTGGACGTTGTGAGCGCATCAATCTTTTTGGCTAGCGAGGCATCGTCCTCTTTGGGCTTTTCCTCGACGGGGGGAGGGATGTCGGTGGTGGAATGGGTGCCGGTCGTGCATGGTGGGATGGACATGAATTCGTCAAACGTGAGGACACGGGGCTTGCAGCATTTCCATCCTAAATACGGCTGTCAGCTTGGCGGTGCCATTGAAGCATGGAGCAGAGGTTGCTCCATGAAGAGGAGACCATCGCACCTTTTTGACCTTCGTGGAAGATTGGTGGACCGGGGTGATATTCACATTTCTCCGTAGGATCGGTGTAGGTCTTGCCACAGCCTTGGTGGACACATTTCTGCGTCGTGGCCATGTTTGTTCTTGTCTCTCTACAGAATTGGCCTCATAAGGAAGCCTCTGTCCGGAAGGCTAAGTTCCTCGATTTGTCAATTAAATACAGGAACGAAAGAGTTGGCTTGGAGAAATTCCGTTGACCTTGGCCCTGGTGGGGTGGGATGTTCTAGAAATACCGAGTCGGTGGCGCACACATCAAGCCTTCCCAATTAGATGCGGGGTCGATGCAGCTCGGGCCCCTAGTCAAGGTTAGCTCGGTACAGGGGTGGGCCGACGGTGCGCCAAAAGGGATGTACGTGACAGCACCATGGAGGCCGTCGTCTTCGTCTCTTTTACTTGTAGCCAGATTATCCGGCGTGAACTATTTCGCACTGTCGCTAGCTTATATCGTTGAAGGAACACCAAAGTGCAATTCATAGGACAATGTTTCTCACCAATCGCCTTTTGCAGGCCTGCAGAATCACCTTTTTCACCCGCGACAACTGCGGCCTTTGCACACAAGCAAAAGGCGTGCTATCCGACGTGTGGGATAAGCGGCCGTTCGCATACAAGGAGGTAAATCTGGCTTTGCCCGAGTCCAAATCTTGGAGGGAGCTTTACGACTTTGATATTCCAGTGGTGAGACAAGTGGTCACATTTGGCACCTGCTCAAAGACCTGATCATTACTAACTCCACGACAAGATACACATCAGCAAGGTCAATGCTGCCGAAGAACATGTCGACGCAGCTGCCAAAGCAGTCAAGTTGATGCACCGCTTCACCATTGAACAGGTAGAAGCGAAAATGGACCAGGTCGAGAAGAATTAGCTTGGCTTGTTGCCATTACCATAGTTCCACACAAGTCGCCACCTTCTCTTGCCAGAATTTCTAATATGAGCCCTTCTTCTCAGCGATGGGAGCGCCCTGGGAGGCGTTGAATTGCTGCTTTAGCACATAATCCAGTGCAGTGTAGTCAGCTGATACACTGATCATATCGAAGCCCTGGTCGGCATACAGCTTGGCCTGCTCGCCACTCGTGGCATACATGCCGCACTTCTTGCCGGCTTTCCGGCATGCTGCGTGGATTCGAGCAATGGCTTCATTCAGCTCGGGGGCCATGACACCGTCTAGGATGGGGTGGCCGATATTATTGCCTGTATCGTGTTGGTTAGTCTAGCGCCTTATAGATATATTCTGCCCGTTCATGAGTATGCACTGATACGGACTATACTGTAGTGACGTATCGTGTGGAGCGCGACGGCCAGGTATTTGGTCTGGCTAAATACTCCTTGCCTCCCACCGTATATGTTGGGAGCTGAAATATGGGAAAGGGAGGGTTGCTTTTTAACCATACCAAGGTCAAAGGGTCCGATGAAGAGCACGTCAATGCCCTTCACGGCAGCAATTTCTTCCACCTCGTTCAACGCCTCTTGCGTCTCAATCTGGACCATTGTCAAGAGAGCGTCGTTTGCCTGTTGCAGGTACTCCGTGAGTGAGGGTACGGGATTGAACCTCTCCGGCGCGATGGGGGATCCGAATCCTCGCTTGCCCCAGGGTGGGAATTTGGCAGCTTGTACCACCTCTCTTGCTTGATCTGCAGAACGGAGCAGCGGTACGAGAATCTAGAATAGTTAAAAGATCGGGCTCTGATCCCTCAGTGGTTGAGATATGTCAGCCATGCCGAACTTACACCATGAGCACCAGCATCCAATGCCCCTATCCAGTGTCGGTCAGCACGCCATCATGTAACCCCTGCAGGAAAATAAAAAGAAAACACCCACGTTTGACCATCCACGACTGCACATCCGGCAGTCTAACAAGCGGCGTCACGCCCAACGCCGCAATCGCCGGCACCGCATCATGCATAGCCCCATCTGGCTACCGTCAGCAAGCCGCATAAACCAGACATTCCAAAGCGTGTTTGCTTACCGTCAATGTTCCCATGCTCACAATCAACCATGACCCAATCTACGCCCGACCTCGCCAACAACCTTGATATATTCGCCCCCGGAATCATCTGCCACATCCCCATGGACTGCTTGCCCTGAGCAAACGCCGTCTTGAGCCGATTGCGTGCCTCCATGGTGTATGTCCTCTGTAACAATGTCACAACTTTAAACGGAGCTTTCTTCGAAAGTATATCACGTCTAAGCAGTGAGCCAACGGACGCCCTCAACAAGGCGTGCATGTCGAGAATGAAAAGGGTGTGAGATATGGTCAAGGACTCGAGAGACGGTTTTGTATCACAGTGTTATTGCGGGGACGCGTGGTTCTACTTCAGCGGCATCGGCGTAATTGGGCTTTGGAAGTGGTTATGCTTTTGCTTCGGGAGATACATGGCTTGGTGGGGATCCAGTAGTGGGGGTGACGATGAGCTTGGGAAGAGTCATCGGTGGGGGGTTGCAGGATGAGTTGATGTCTGGTTCGGGATTTGTTTACCCCGAGGCAGAGGTTTGCGACGTCGAAATGCCAATTGGTGTCAGTTAAACACGCTTATTTTGCTTTTGAATAATATCTCGCCTCTCTGTGCCAACAAGAGGCTGACAATCGATGCCAAGTAGGCCTGACGTGCTGCTATGCATCAAAATCCACCCAACTTGTGCTACAAACTACGTCAAGCTCAGTGCATGTGGGAAGAGAGGCTGGTGACTTTGACTTTTTCTATTCGTTTGGGGCCTTTTGGTTCTCCTCATTTTGTATTTAATCTCCAATATGACATTTTGCTTTGCCCAATCAATCCCTCCTGGCGCTCGCGCCATATCAAGTTCTAGTCGTTATATATTCTGTTAGGCCCTGTTAGGGAGTCGTGTCGTATGCCCAGAGGAACAGCTTTTCAGGCCTGTACCACACGAGAGCACCCAGTCTTATTATATTCTCTCAAAAATACTTGGGAGAAATTTTTTTGGTCGTCTTCACCTCGAATGCGGGCGCGTTATAAATAGACGGCTCTTAGATTCGTAGCTCATCAGTCCTGAAGACATCTGTAACATCGTATTAGCGGCGTACTCAGGCGCAATTGTTTTTATAGTACCAAGTCCTCAGCGTACCCTAGGTAATCCTCCTTGATACTTCCAATGGCCCACATCTCCCCGACTTCTGTTCTCGTTCCGATAATTTTGACGCGCACGTGTGTCCCGGGTTCGATAACGGTGTCCTCGTTATTGGTAAACTGCGGTGGCGTCGCGTTTGGATCCCACTTTATATCGCTTGGTATCAACTTCTCTTGTGGTTAGCTACAGTCATTCTTTTAAAAAGCCTTCGCAAGCGTCGTCTGCCATACATGTGCGGAAACGAAAAGTCGCAGTGGGCCGGCCTGCGCGAAGAAACCTTGAGGGTTGATAGAATATACAACGGCATCAACCTGCGCAAGTTAGGACTCTCCCTAATTTCAATGCGATGGTCTCGCTGTCATACCGTCTCGCCTTTGAACGGCCGCCAGACGACGGCGCGGTAACCGACTGTGAATTCTGCAAGACCGTTGCCTGGAAGAATGCGCCCTTCAGAGATATCGAACGTGTCCATGATAGAGATGATATAGTAGCTTCCAGCGCAAGTACCCTCCACATCTTTCAGCAGCTTGCTGGTGACAAGTTCGTGCATGTTGCGTCCAAAGTACGAGGGGTGCAAGGTCACCCTGCGCTCCATGTTGTACAGGAAGAACATTGTGGACTCTTGCCCTACTGCGGGAAACAGAAGCAGTAGCCAATTAGTTGGTGTATGTTAAGTTGGGTAGGCGTATGGGCGAGATGGAGGCTTCGCCGGGCTCAAATCGGGGGGATGAAGGTTCGGCTCGCAGTTCCAGTTGGGGATGGATCGCGAGGATGCGCCGCTGAGGACGGAGCGACGAAGGATGTAGACGAGCCGGAAATCTGGAGGAATATGTTTGAAGGACACTCTCCACGCCCCGGGAAGTGCACGGCTAGCCCCCGAGTGGGAGTTGGCGATGTGGTTGAGGATCTGAGATCTGAGAGGTTAACGACGCAAGGCTGGGGAAGCAAATGCGACGCCAACATTGGTGGTTGAAATCTTGTCTACCAGATGACAGGCAGGTGGTCCGTGCACAGCCTGGTCGCAGTTGCCTGGTGTTTCCTGGAGGTGCTTAAATGTGCAAACGAAGCAACGACGAGCAGGTTCGGATACATTTTCTTACTGTGATGCAAAAACTGTAGCCTTTAGTCCCTTAAGAATCACCACCAAGGGAACTAACTACATCTCCCAACTATTTAAATTATCCATGCTCTCTAATCATTATACAGAGCCCTTCGACCTCGGGCTCATCGGAAGCCAAGAGGCCAGTGGGCCACCAGCCAAGGCGCGACGCTACGGAACAAACTCACTGCTGCCGAGATCTACCCGGTACCTAGGGCGGCTGGGTTCAATGCTGTGGAAAGGGGCCCGAGTTTGGTGAGCCGGGACCTGATCCGAACTTTGAAAACAAGGGTTTCTTCCAAGACCGGCTTGTCGACTATGGTGCAATTGGAGGGAGAGAAACCCTGCAGCAGAACCAATCCTGCCTAACAACATAGAAACTCTCATCGCAAGGCCATGCCATGCATTTGACTGATGCAAAAATACAGGCAAAATGTCACGCAGTGGGTCGGCTACTTCACCTTTCGTACTCCTATCGCCATGGAGGATTTACCAGAGCAGCCCTTGAGCTCAGGAGACGCTTATTAGGTTGCGTGCCAGAATGGACCCTCCCTACGCCACTAAGCTTGGTGTACCGAGTAATATTACCCGTCTTCAACAGCTCTATATGCACATTGTCGCCCCAGGATACGGAACTGTTTTCTCGGAGTATGACCGAAGGCCCGATTGTGCTCGACTGTACTCTGCAATAACAACACAGCCTCTGGCAAGAATATATCATTGTCCATAGCGAAGCATGGTATATACCTCGGAATCCGCAGTATTGGCGCGATACACTTGTACCTTGGCAGGTCAAAGTCTCTCTGCCCACCCATCCAAGCCGCAACAGCTCAACCCTGCACTTCCCGGCGGGCTTCATGAGACATTGTTCTCTGCAGAGTTTGCTCGAGCACACAGCCTAGGTCATGTATGCTGGTCTTCAAGGACATTGCACCCCTAGACATGATACAATGTACCACTTACAATGCTACTTGACAGCTGATGGCCGAGGCAGCATCTGTCACTGGTTGGAGACATGCTCTGTGTGGGTTATCGAGACAGGACCACTGGAAGACCACGACGGGAACACGAACAGGGCCGACAGGACCTCTGTCAACCGTCCAGGCGGGGTCGCCTGGTGGTTCCAGCCTTGCAAGCTCCTACGCTCGCACAGCTCGCCCTGCCCAGTACGAAGAGCTCCGGGTTCGTTGGTTTTAGACCCACGCCCTTTGTCTCGACGTCGTTCCTCGCAGACTTTGGCAGATGGGACTGATGGTTGCAGCCGAGAACCGGCAGACACTCTCTGTGTGCCCGCAGCCCGTTTGCTAGTACGACACCCCCCCTTGAGCACAGCACTTCAAATTCATTACAGCACGGGGTACATGGTTACGGAGTAAATGAAGTTGGGATGGAGTCGACTTGGGCGCTGCGCTTTTGTCGTGGCTCAAAGTGGCCACGGAAGAGAAGGGCCAACCGGGCCCCCGACAGGCAGAGCTGGCACATGAACTGGCCTGGATGAGCCAAACCTACCATCTCATCATTCAACAATCGAGTTCGCTCCCTCTCTTTTCGTCTTCTTCCGCCATCCACTTCTATTCTTCTCGTACAGGCGGGCTTTTGAGGAGGCGCTTCGGCCAACCTTTCCAGCTCGACTTCATCTCCTCGGTTTACCCGCGTTTGTGTCTCGGCTCCTCGTTCCGCCATCGTCCCGCGGCTCGCTCTCTTTTTTTGTTTTTTTTTTGCTGGTGTGTCGCGTGCCCACCATGTCGCTGGATTTGGAGCACCACCTTACCTTTGTGAGCATCACCACCTATGGAACCTCGGATGTCCATCGACGTCCAACCCCTCCCTCGTTCCCAGCAATTTCACGTCAAATCTCAGCCTCAATCCCATACTGGACTTGTTGCAACTCGATACTAATTTTTTTCCTTCCTGTTTTTCCTGTACACAGTATGGCGCTTACCACCATAATTCAGTCAACAAGGTTATTCACATAATATGCGTCCCGATTATTCTGATCTCGGCCTTTTGCATGGTATGCTCATGGAATTACTGCCTCCGGCGTCCAGCATCAACCGTATTCGGCACTGGTCCTAATTCTTTTCTAGGCCACGTACTCGGGCACCCTCATCCAGACCCCTAGCTGGCTCTCCGTGCCGTATCTTGACCTCAATCTGGGCACCATTGCGGCTCTTATGTATACGGCACTCTACTTACTACTCGAACCAGTGGCTGGCTTTGTGTTGGCTGGATTCTGCTTGGCCGGCACCGCTTATTCCAACTACCTAAAAGCAGAGAACCCAGCTACCACTTTCCAGATTGCACTCGGCTGCCATCTTGTTGCCTGGATTGTCCAATTCGTTGGACACGGAGCTTACGAAGGCCGCGCTCCTGCCTTGCTGGATAACCTACTCCAGGCCATCTTCTTAGCCCCGTTGTTCGTCTGGCTTGAGGTCCTCTTCAAGCTAGGATACCGCCCTGAGCTCCAGGCTCGTGTCGACAAGAGAGTACAGCAAGAAATCGCCAAGTTCAAGGCCGCTTCTAAGAATGGGAAAGCCAAGTAGATGGAAAAACACGCCACGGATCGTGTGTTGCTGAGTGGTCAATTACCCAATGAAGCAGGAAGCTACAGTGGGAGGCAAGACGCACTTGACCTAACCAAGTAACCATGCATCGCGCGCTACACTACTGGATACTGGGACATATCAACGCATACTTGGCCAACGGCCAATATACCCAAGCATACTGCCACGGAATATACATGCCAAACCCGGGGTTTTATTGCAAGGAGTAACTGCTGTTGATCGGTTACTCTTTGTATATCGACGTGTCTCAAAAGTCAAATTTTACCAAATAATTGATTTATTTTGAAAAAGCTAGGCTAGGTATGGTGACAGCTCTTACTATTCTGTCTAGAAACGAAGCAAATTGCTCCAACCGACCCGATGTCTTGTTTATATCAACCCTGTATTAGCGAATTGTTTTTAAATGATTAGTGCCTCGATGTCGATGCACTGATGTCCTCAGCCTAGTGTTGAAGAAGACCGAAGTGTATTATATGAAGGAAGAAGGTTGTAGATCGAAATCGGGGGGCGCGGGAGGAGCATAGGATGGTACAGTCCGATGTGCGGTAAAAATCAACCCTATGATCAAATTGGAAAGAAAAATCAAATCATCAACTTCAGCCATGTCTGAAGGCATTGACTTGTGGCTGTTCGCGTATGTGCACAAGATGGACTCAAAACATGGCCCCTATCTCTTCTCTCCGAAGTGCTGTTTCGCAAACCATTGATTCCGAAGACGGAGTTCTTTTCTTCCAGAACAACTCCCATTTGCGTGACTCCTCTCCCAGGAACTTGAATTGAACGGGAGGCGGCTTGAGCTTGCCTTTGGTTATCGGATGGTTTTCGCATTTCGAGGATAAGCCGGGTTGTACGATGTCTCGATCATCGAGAGACTCTGATGCAAATTGTGTCCCGCTGCTCGTTATGGAATCCACTGGCAAGAGGGACTCATCCGATGCAGAACTGTCCCGAACGGCACGAATGGTTGGGTTTAATTCCGCGAGAGTCTTGTCCAATCCAGCGCTGACTCTAACGGTAAGAGGCTGCTGTTTTTCGTCTTCTCGTGTGTCCTGCGGTGAACAGTTGTCATGGTTTGCGTTCGAAACGTGATGGTCCTTCACGTCGGCTGCTGCGTCTGCCGGACCAGATGCCGAAGATGCATCACTGTCACTGGATTCCTCGCACTTGACGCAGTCCTGAGAAAAACGGCGATCCTTACAAACCTTTGGACGACGCGAAAAGAAGCCTTGCAACCGTTGTGATAGCCTGGAGCTACGGCCCTCTTTCCCGTGCTCAGGAAATTTGTTGCATGGATGATGATAATCCGCTGTGTGTCCACATCCGAACTTGCGGATCTCTTGGCAAATAGGGCCCCCCATTATTGCGATGGGCTTTTTTTCTTCTGTTTTCTTATATTTTCTCGGATGAATAATGATGTATTTGGAAGATGTCAGGGACGATGATGGTAGAGAAAATTATCCAATTGAAGCAAGTTAGACGGAGATATGAGGTGCTGCGAAAGAATATAAACGGTTCGTGATGATTCGAGGTTTGTGTTTTAAAAAATCGTGGTGACATGGTATATTATACCATATTGCCGAGAGGTGAACATGACGTGAATACCATGAAAACTTTTGATATAACTGTTATAAGATGTGATTTTGAGCACGATATGGGTATGCATAGCATGGCCTATGCAGATATCTTTTACAGGCAGTTTTATTACGGTTATTCAGCGGCGCTTGTTAAGATAGTGTCAAAGGGCTTAGGAGAAAAAAGTCGATTTGAAGCCGTTAAGTGCCAGTGTGTTAGTCATGTTCAGATTAGTTGGAGAAATTTTTTTTTTTCCGTCTTTGTCCATGATGGCGAGTCCCGGAATCACTGGTCGGTTGAGTTGGGCGCCCTTTGGTTGAAAACTGGTTGTCGGTGCGTGGCACCGTTGTCAAAGAGCCGAGTAGAGAACAAAACGGCCTTTACGACATCACTCACTTAAAGACATGCTTTTCTCTGGTGTTGAGCATTTGTGACCTTCTGTGAATATGCGGCGCGTCTTGTATTTCGTCTGTTCTGGGTAGGTATGCACCTGTCTATCATTGAGGACTGAAGCACATATGTTCCAAAGTGCACTCATCTAGCTGAATCGATGTTCGTGTATACCGGTATACGCCTTACATGTCAGGATTTCATTACATAGAACGATACATGCCACGTCAGGCCAAATGCTCTTTGCGCCAAACCGTAATGCGAGCGGGCTAGTTTGATATACAACTGGCGCCGGGGGATGGAATAACACCCGCGACGACGGACAGTGCCATCAAGTTCCTTGTTACCATTCACTACGTAGTCAATCGAGTTTATGTAACATTTTTACTCCGTAGGCTGTCTGCTTTTGATTATTTGGGGGGAATACTGTTCTATTCGCACGTTGATGAGCGCCGCGATGGCAACATTCTCGGCCTGATCGGGGAAGACGTCACTACGACATCACATCTTCTAATGCCGGAAAAAGCAAGAGGAATAACTACCAACTGCTCCCATTTGCTGTACATCCCGTGCCGTGCCGCTCAGCCACTTGGTACGACATGAGGGTGCAGTGACTCAAACTAGGCCGCGGGACTTTGTGATGCGGCCAAGGCATAAAATGAGGCAGGTCGCGCACACAGCCCCCAACGCACACACTCCCACATCTGTCCCTCGGCATCGTCATTCTGATTCTGGAGAAGGATCGCACGGCAGGGCACTCCAAGTCTGATCAACAGCCAAACGCCTCCACGCCGACTGGCTCACAAACGCTATGAAATCGCCATCATAGGCGGCGGCATGGCAGGCCTCACTTGGCAGGCCTCACTCTGGCTTTGCTGTGTAGGAGGCTGGGTTTCAAGTACATTCTTTTTGAAAAGCGAGACTGGCTCGAGGGCGATAAAGGCGCGGGGATTGGCTTACAGGCGAATGCCCTGCGTATCCTAGACCAGCTGGGTGTTGCGGATAAGGTGGAGGCGGAGGCGGGCACGTTGGCTGAAATATATGGGTATGACGAAGATGGAAACCAGATTATGAGAAACAGTGTTCTGGCTACGAGTAGAAAGAGGTGTGTCTCTGTTTCGTGGTATTCGGTTTTGTCATTTTTGGTTGCTGATGCTTGGCGTAGGGTTAGTTATGACTTTACCATAGGTTGCAGTTATTCTCAGCCCCCCGGAAGCGTAGGTGAGGAAATGATCGCAGTTACAATGCGTCATGGTTGGCTTTAGTGTTTCTCTGGTGCGTGGCATTTCCGTTAGTATGTATGTACAACTGATAAGCTTGGGGAAGTCTCTTCACGTCTATCCGTTCTTAAAGACGCTTGGACAATCATTGGACAATGATGAAACTGCGTCACTCGCGCTCCGCTCAACAGGTATGTTGCTGTCAACTCCGTCGGCATATAGTTACTTCGGTGTCTTGGTCAACTGCCTTGTGTCCTGTGCCATGTCCCAGCTATGGAGAAGCCGAAGAAACATGTTTTTGAACACAGGCCATGCGTGAAAGGACCAAAGTCCAAATAAAATAGCGAAGGTCCCTGTCGTATTCATGTCTAGCTTAGGGTAGTCTCTAGATTGCTGTTTGCCCGAGTGTTGCCCTGTGGGCTACGTTTTGATGCTGTAGACCATGACAGGTTTCCTTTTAGCGCGCCTCTCCTGCCGTTATGTCGACCGAGAGGTGACCCCTTTACAGATGGGATTTGTATACTTTGGTCTTGGGGGGGTGGGGCAGGCATACCGCCCAGGCACGGTACGGTGTTTCTCAGGCTTTCGGAAAGATTGCCAAGTTGGAGCTGGGATTGGCAAACGTCTTGTCTGGCGAAGAAACGGTTGATACTCGTGAGAGAAGGTGGTAGTTTTCGAGTGGCGGTTGCTGCCAGGTGAAGTCATTGCTTACATAACCACACACGATCCTAGCTGGGTTGCACCAGTACTACGATGTCCACCGCGTCGCAGACGACGGCATGGGCGGTTCCGTGACTGCATGATGGACAAGATGCAGCAGGGTGCAAAAGGATTTCATACTCTATCAATTTTGGCATAATGTTTGTCTCTGCAAAGCATCCCGCTGAACCAGCAGCTTCTAATAAGGTTCGAGGATGGCAAAGTTGGCAGCTGGCTAGCCAAGTGACTACCGAGAGGCTCCTCAGCAGCTGATCCAATTAGAAGAGATGGGACTTTACATTTGGGAAAAAAAATTGGCCCACCCCAGAATAATGTGCATATCAGGTGGAGACTCGGAGGATGCAAAAGGGCATTTTGGAAAGTTGATATGGCAGATCGGCCAAGGTGACAAACAAGGTTACAACGGACAGACGATGTCAACGGTGCAGCTTCCAGGTTGGTTGATGTGAAGGCTTCAGCCATGAAGCAAGGAGCCGACTGACGCAGCAGTAACCCGCTTTTGGTGTTCAGTGTTCATGGGCCGACATACAGACATAGCACGGGTCGACATGTTGTACTGGCCTCTTACGGGGTACTTGTCCGGAAATGCATGCATGCGCCGTGCAGCAGGCATACCTCCTCCGCACTTGGATGGCGAGTGAGATGGCGTCGGGCGTTGCACATGCATCAGTTGATGATGCATCGTTGCCTCCCACTGCAGGGACGATTCGGGCAAGTTTCTACGAGCAGGCGGGCGTCAATTGAAGACTGGACATTCCCATCAAGAAGGATGGCATCGGCTTTATCCTGGGTGCCGAACTCGCAGCGCACCTCCCACTTTATGACTGTGCTGCGTCGTCAGGGTTCACAGATTCGACACAACAACCCAGGCAGGTTTTTCTTCTTTTTCATCCCGGACCCTCAACAAGAAATCTCGCCAACAATTTGCCGCAACCCCAGCAGCCGCAAGCGCTAACACCAGACTTGACACCCATTGATGGCCCCTGAGCCCAGTCGTACTAGGATACTTGAAGCTGTTGACTGCGGGGCCACGAAACCCACCGTTAGGCGCTGGAGGGGCGACATCACCCATAACCGCTATTTGCTGTTACCACTGACGCTTGAACAATACTTGACTACAGTGCTCACGCTGCTCCAGGCAACTCAACTGCCTTATCTTATCGGCTGTTGACTGTGACTCGTCCGACCCCCGGACCGGAACCTGGAGTCGCCCAATTTTTTTTTTTTTTTGCTGGCCCGAGCTTTCAATTGTCAAGTGGTTCCAATCCCGACTTTTTGTCCCACGTCCCACACACCACACATCCATCTCTTGGTCACCGACTTCCATTCCCTCTACAATTCCGTCACCCTTTCGCTCCGCTGGCCATCGACACCTGTTCAATTGGCCCCCCGAACGTCTAGGCTGCTCGAGGGACGGTGTCATTGAAGCATTGAATGCCCGGGGAGCTGTCTGTCGTTCGCAATTGCAATGCCTCCCGCGATGCCTTCTATGCTGGCTGGCCGCGCTCCGGTCATGCTCCGAGCTGGTCGTCGCATTCCTCGAACTCTGCCTTCTCCCGCCAGGTCTCTCACCACAGCCTCGTTGAGGTCGTCTGCCCGCTCTCTACTGCAGGCTAAACAGCAGCCCAAGAGACTTGGCACAATTTCAATTGTCCGAAATTATAGCGCCTCGCCAGCCGAGTCCGCGCCCAACACCAAGGCTTACATCGACAGTGGGGTCATCAAGCATGTCCAGAATGTCGATGTGAAGAAGGTTCTTGTCATTGGCAGTGGTGGTCTTGCCATTGGCCAGGCTGGTGAATTCGATTATTCGGGTTCGTTCCCTCATACCGACATCTTCCAAGATTGGGCGGAGCGCAGGCACACCGAGGACGCGCTCTCACAGTCGTGACTCACGTGCCACTGCAAACATGACAAAATCTTGCGCAAATCAAAAGCTTCACATGCTAACACGGCTCTTTCTATGTACAGGCTCACAAGCCCTCAAGGCTCTCAAGGAAGCTGGCGTCGCTTCTGTTCTGATCAATCCTAACATTGCTACTATCCAGACCAACCACTCCCTCGCCGATGAGGTCTACTATCTGCCAGTCACCCCCGAGTATGTCAGCTATGTCATCGAAAAAGAGAAGCCCGATGGCATTTTCTTGTCCTTTGGCGGACAGACTGCCCTGAACTTGGGTGTCCAGATGCAGCGCCAAGGTCTGTTCGAGAAGTACGGCGTCAAAGTCCTCGGCACTAGTGTTCGCACTCTGGAAGTTTCAGAGGATCGAGACCTCTTCGCCAAGGCCCTGGAAGAGATCAACATCCCAATTGCAAAGTCTATTGCCGTTAGCACTGTTGACGAGGCCTTGGATGCTGCTGAAAAGGTCGGCTATCCCATTATCGTCCGAGCCGCCTACGCCTTGGGTGGTCTGGGCTCTGGTTTCGCCAACAACGAGGAGGAGCTTCGCAACATG